CTATAAAAGAGCTTAATTAAACCTAAATAAATTAGTAATTTATCTATATTAGGCTATTACTAGATTATATCTTTCTAAAATTTAGAGCTTTAGGAGGCTAAATTTTACTTTTCTTATTTTTTCTATATTTAATCTAAATATAGAACTCCTCATAGTCTTTGACTGTATAGGAGTATAATAAAGAATAATAATAATAATAATAATCCCCCCCCCTCTATCTTTATCTGCCTCTATGGGTCGGGGTAGGGGTATTTTTAAAGGGTGGGGGCTCAAGCCTAGATATTACTATACTTATTAAACTAGCCTCTTATCTATTAGTACTTACTATTAGGTTGCCTACCTTCTAATTAATATTATAACTTACTTATATAGTAAGTAAGTAAGCTAATATTTTCAATATAAGATACTTACTCTTAGAGCCTACTTTAAAAGTACTTATAATATTAATACTTCTAGATATAATAATAGTTTTTTATTAAATAATGGTAAGTTTAAAAAAAAGTTTATTCTTAATAATAATATAAATAAAAATAAAATATTTATTATTAATAAAAAAAAGTTTATTTTAGAGAATATTAATAAAGAAAATATAGCTATTAATAAAAATATTAAAATTAGTATTTTAAATTAGTAATATATTAAAAATTAATTTATTTAATTATTTAATTACTTAATTTATTTAGCTACTTAACTTATTTAGCTACTTAGCTATCTTCTTATATATATTACTTTTTATTAAATATCTATAAATTTTAACTTCTTCTTAAACTATATAAAATTTTTATTATTTTATTAAAATAATCATTTATTTTATTAATTTTATTTTCTAGCTCTTTTATTTTTACATATAGTTCTAAAGAAAGTATAAAAATTTTATAAAGTACTTCTTAAAGTTTAAAAAATTTCTCTTTTATAAATTTAGTATTTTTAAATAAAGATTATAAAATAGTTATTTTTTTAAACTCTTCTATATACTATCTCTTATTTAAAAGAGATAATATTAAATTATTATATTCAAAATGAATAATTTCTTTATGTTATTCTTATTTTATTTTAATAATATTTTTTATATTCTTATAAGTTTTTTTATTATTATTTATAATTTTTATTCATTTATTAAGAGTATATTTAAAATTCTCTTTTATTTATTTTATTTTAAATTTAACTAACTCCTATATATATAATTTATAATAACTATTAATAAAATAAACTACTAATTAAGTAAAATTTTTAATATTTTTATAAATAATTTTAATATAAAATATTTAAATTTTTTTTAAATTTATTATATGTTCTTTAATATAAATTTATATATTTTATATATTTATAAACTATTCTAAGCTCTTCTAAGTAAGTTAATTAGGAGCTTCCTTATACTAATATAATAAGCTATAATATATTAAACTAGCTACTAGATACTAGTATTAGTAAGAAAAACTCTAGTATTAGTATTAATATAGAGATTAGTAACTTAGAGCTAATAGATAATATAGTAAATATTAATAAAAACTTTAATATTATAAAAAATTAGAATAATAATTTAGTCTAACTAAATATTAATAGAAAATTTAAATAATTTTACTTATTAAAGTTATATAATAATTTTAAATATATTTCTCTATAATTATAGATTTATAATAATATCTAAGTAATATTTTAATTTCATTTTTAATATTATAGAGTTTTTTATCGAATAATTACTAATTAGTTCTAACTATATTAAAAATTATATAAGATTTTTTAACTTTAAAAAATACTATATTAGTTAATATAATTACTACTTATATATAAATATATTAGTATAAAGTAGATAAATTATAGTAAGCTATTAAGTAGGGGGTATATAAGCTAAAATTTCCTAATTAGGAAGTTTATGCGACTTTTTTTCATGTGGTGGAGCGCTGCTGAAGGGGTCTAATAATAGAAATGAGATTTGATGCCTCTTGAGACCCGTCACATCTACTTTCACGTGATCTAACATCAGGTGTCAGTCCCCATTTCCATTTTGGGAATACAGGTTTTTGGAGATTCGAGGACCTGAGGGTCGCCGGGAGTGACAACCTCAGCCCAGCTTCAACCCAGCGCCCACAGCCCATCCACGACGTCTCTTTTCGTTGTCTCTCTGCTCACATCGGCGTACGGAGTACATAATTTGTTTCCTAGTCACCACCATCAAGACAAGATGGCCAATGTGCATCGAGGCGGTGCTAGGAGCGCTAGACGCACATCACTCCCATGCTGGAAATTCGAGCCTCAGAGAATGTACGGACAAGATGTCCAACCGTCCCTGATAGAGTTCCCAGTCGAAGACTTGGTCTTCACCACCCGTGCGACTTCACTGTCCCGACGTTACTCGAACCTGGAGCCTAATCTAAGATCGATTATCATCGCAGTTGACGGAGCATGTAGGGAGAATGGAGCGGCCGCTCCCCGAGCTGCCATTGGGGTCTATGTGGGCAATAAATCTGACTACAACGCCTCTATGCAGCTCGATCCATCATGGGCAACGAACCAAAAGGCGGAATTGGCGGCAGGCATTTACGGACTCGATGCCGCCAGGGAGATCAATGATTATGGTGTCGATGGGGAATCACTGACCGAAGTCATCATCAAAACGGACTCTGCATATATGGTCAACGGGCTGACCCAGTGGGTTGACAGGTGGGAAGCAAACGGCTACATCAACGCGGACGGCCAGCAGGTTACCAACCATTACCTGTTCAAGGAACTTTCCTGGCGCGTTCGTGAGCTTGCCGAATCCCATGTCAAGGTGTACTTCTGGCATGTCCGCAGGGAACACAATCGGGAAGCAGACCAGCTGGCCAGGGACGCTTTGGCACGCTAAATCTCGTCGAGCAGCAAGTTATCGAACACAACCCATGCACATGCATATGTGACCTTCAAACGACCGACTAATGATACCTGACTTAACTTGTTATCTTAAACCCAGCAGCTTTATATTTTCTCCTTGTTTCTCAGTTTGACATTGAGTGAGGAGATTTTTCTCCAAAATACAGCACTCGACACTCGGAGGCCCTTGTCCGAGTTTGCTCTGTATTAGGTGTCATTCAACTAACCATATATATTAACCACTACGACGTTAACTAACGATGCCAAACGAGTTTTCCCCCTTGTTTTTACCTCTTTTTTACTGCCAGTTATCATTTAACAAAGTAACTAGCCAGCCATCGCTGAACTTTTATGCCTGAATATGAAATGGATTATCTCTTTAGACAGTGCCGTTGCAACGTCGTATAAAAGGTATTATTCGTTTTATCCTGCGCTCGTTAACGAATTTGCATATAGTCCGTATTTCGTTGATTTCCAAGCTCGCCAGGTATTCCATTCAATTTACTGTTATATCCTTGTATGCGATGAAAAAATAACCCCCTGGTATCATAGTCTGATGCTCTGATACCAAGTCCCGGGGCCGCCTTCCTTTGGGCGCGATGGGGTGTCCTTTTAGGGAATGGCTGTTGTTGATAACCACACAACAACACTTCAACCCCAAGCTTGAACTTCACCACTAGCCCAGGCCATCAAGTACGTTTCTCACTGTACCTCGCCGCTACGAAAACGACAAGAGGCTCATTGCAGGATGGCTCTTGACAACTCACCCTACTACGGACTGGATGATCGTCCCCAGGGTCAACGTCGCGGTAACACGCAGCCACTTGTTATATCTGTCGATGGAGCATGCAGGGGAAACGGACGAGAACACCGTGATGCCTCTGCAGGTGTATTTGTTAACCAGGGATCGAGATTTAACGAAAGCATTCCCCTGAACCTGGATAATCCCAGCAACCAAAAAGCGGAGATACTCGCCGGTATCCATGGCCTTAACAAGGCACGAGAAATGGACGGTGGCCCTTCTCGCCATGTAACCATCCGATCTGACTCTGAGTACATGGTCAAAGGCGTCAATGAATGGAGCCGTAGGTGGGAGTCAAATGGATACCGGGCTGCCAATGGCCAGCCAGTGGTTAATAGGGAGCTCTTCCAACAGCTTAATTCAGCAAGAGACTCCCTGGAACGATCCGGTATAAAGGTCGATTTTCAGCATGTCCCGAGAGAGGAAAACCGAGACGCTGATCACTGGGCCAGCCAGGCGTTTGATAACTATCACAAGAGTCAGGATTGTGGTTACTATGAATTTGAAGAAGATTGGTGAGTTCTACAAGTCCAATACTTGATGGATAGTATATGTACGGGGGATTTTCTCTATCACTAGGGTAAATAGAAGATTTATATAGGGCCCATTTGGTTCTAGAATTGATTTATTCGTCTTGTTATTGTGCTAATCATTCTTGTGGGTTGTTAGCAACAGTGGGCCCCTGGGGTATCAACCTGAAACTTATACCAACGACGAGGAAGAGTTTGAAGGCCCCCACACTTCCCCAGAAGCTTTTATTGAGCCGACGGACGCTCAAGGATTCCATGAAACCACGGGTGATTTCTACGGTGCTTCCTACGAAGGTTCCTACGGAGATTCGCTTGATGATTGCTATGATGATTGCTATGATGATGATTACTACAATGATGCCTATGATGATTAGTTACTAGCATTGATGGTTCAGAGTATGGAGTATGCGAACCCAAAAAAGCCCATCTTATATAATTACCTCCATAAATCCATATCTTACATTTTAAAGCATAATTGCATACAAACATTTGTGTTCGAACAACTGCTCCTAAAGGTCATGATACCCCTACGAGGTTCAACAACTTGGGTTCTGGTAGTTAACTATTTCTTCCGAAATTGTGGCAAAAGACAACAAACATTGACACTACAAGCGAAACACAATTGACAATTGACAGGTAGTACATAAAAGCAATGACGCCAGGATAACTTCATGACAGATGGGCCATTTTAATTAAGTATATGCAGTCTTACTCCTGCTAGGCAGTAATCTCTAACGAGCTACCTCAAGGATTATCAATTGCAATCATTTTATCACAAATTTGTGCCAATTCATTCCACAGATCAAGTGCCACACAAAATGAAGACCCTCAGATTTCAACTATATCGCGTTTGGGTATTCTTCGGCCGCTTAGCTGATAAAGCAAAAGGGAAAGAGACAGAGAAAAATGGACAACTCTCGCAAGCGTCAGATCGTGACTCAGAATGGGATACCATCAACGGGCCTAAAGCCGAAGATTCCCTTTCATCTGAGGACAGACACCAGCCAGAAGGACGGTTGGAACCAGCTCTTCACCGGCTAAATGACGATGTACTTTACTATCTTGCCAATTATATCCTGTCTCTTGACGATACAGTTGCCTTTGCACTTACCTGCAGAGCAGCCTATAAAGCCATCGGTGGGAGAAGAGTTCTACAAATGCTCAACAAGGAGCCTGCCTGGTACCGTGCCAGATTTCTCGAGCGCCTGGAATTCGACTTCCCGAAACACGTCCTTTGCTATGAATGCGGTAAATTTCATGCGTGGTTGGAAAAGAATGTTTTCGGCCTATCGCCCTGTGACTTAAACGGCATTCAGCTGGACTATACCCCGGGTTTTCGGCGTCTGTTTTATAGACATGCAAAAGATTGCTAATCACTATAGATTAGGCCCTCTCTACGGACGAAATGAGCTTTATCTAGTACCCCAGGCGCCCTATTTTAGGAGGGACATAGAAAGAAAGATCGCACATGCTGTATATATCAGCCCAAAGGCGGTCAATAACGCAGGGAACTTCGAATTGATCTTAAGGAGAACCTCGTATGCGGAATACAAATAACTCGAGGAAGGAGGCAATATACGCTACCCGTTGTAGAAGCCACCATCTTTAGCACGGCTTCAATGAAGAGAAGCTAGCACGGGAAATGCTTCCGCTATGTTATCGATGTGAGATTTGTGGTGCTGAGCGGCAATTCACTATTACCTACTTAGCATCAAAGCCTGGGTATGCGGTTATTCGAAGTGCTATGTGGGAAAGCGTAGGACATTGCGAGAACTCTGTCAACGGGCAATGGGAGCACATCTGCTCCAGCGGAAGTCCAGCAACCGTTCTCCCGTTTCTCAGCATTAGCCAGTCAGAGTTGATTCACCAGCGTGCCTGTATTGAGGAGATACCTGGTAATTTTGCGCAGAGGCTCAATGATGAAGTTGTCCAGAAACTGACTTATTGAGATTGTGGGAGTCCTTGCAAAGAGAAAATTTCTCTTGTCTTATAACCAGCAATCCGGGTATAACGAAATGGAAACACTCGAGTAACTTTGATAGCATAGCTGCTGGTAGGAGAGGTCCCCTCATAATCCTCTACTCGCATATGGATATCTCAATCTTGAAGAACTTGTTTTAGCCCTCAAGATGGGACACAGGAATAGGAGATAGCAGGGCAAAAGGGAAAGTGTTTAGTCTGAGGGTCAGAAGTTATTCCAAAACAGACAGTATGATACCTGATATTATAGTGGTTTAGATGGGTATATTCATGGCCAGCTTGGTGTTGATATTTGGATGTAGACATAAACCAGCTCCATCAGCAACATCACCGCCCCAGCTGTTCTGTAGTTAACTAGTAACGAGGGCAACAACAAAGACAGCGAGAACACCGGGCCATGCAGGTCACCGTTGGATGTCTTCTGTCGCTGCCCCGAAGTCGAGATAAAAAGGCTGCTGCGTCTATTTATATATCGACTTTAAGGACTTAAGTCTGCCGTTTCCACCTTAATAAGCGTGTTGCGTGGCCCCTTCGCCCATCCCTACTTATATCTCACTGCTTGACCAGCATAATTCCTTTTTCCAAACCTCCCGGCGCACCTTTTTTTTTCCTCCCTTGCTCGATCGTGGTATATTTTAAAAGACAGCAAGACAAGTTCCTGAGCTTGCCCCCTTTTACCCCGAGTACAGCCATCCAGAGGGTCGGAAAACAGTCTCATCTCGCTAATTGACCGTCTCCCTTCCGTGAGAGATCCGCCCCAGGGACCGACCGCTATCCGATACTGCCCTGGCGTCCAACGCGTTCGGCCAGAGCAACTTGCTACGGTCACGGCCGTTCGACTTCCATCGCTTCGTCGCTTTACAGGCTCATTCACTGTCCAGTGCCGTGCACAAGATGGGCGAGCAAGAGAAGGCCAGGACCTCCGGCGAGATACAGCCTGGTGCTGCCGCTGGGCCAGCCATGGCCATGGAGATGGAGGACAGAAAGGACGATAGCCAGACACTGCCGACTGTCAACCCGGCGGCGACGAAGAACGAGCCGCCCAAGCCTTCGTTCCATCCGGCTTTCTACGTGATGTAAGTTTCCCCGTTCTGCTTGCGATCCTGGGTTTATCTGTGGCGGAGTTGCGGTGGATGTGTGGTGCTGATGCAGAATCATGCAGCTCTTGGATTACGATGAGTTCGGCGGTTATTCTGTTTAACAAGGACCTGCTCGATAAGAAGCAGAACAAATTCCGTAAGTCACCTTCACACGTTTCTCCCCTTTGTTTTTACCTGGTTTAACTAGACTGCTGACCAGTTTGTGGATTATAGCATTCCGTACGTCTTTTGATTCTCCGCTGGTGAAATTGTTATCCTGACCCCCCTATCAATAGCCGTCATCCTTACAACATGGCATCTTGCGTTCGCGGCCTTCATGACCCAGGTACTAGCACGAACCACCAACCTCCTCGATGGACGGAAGAAGGTTAAGATGACTGGCCGTGTCTACCTCCGTGCCATAGTGCCAATTGGCTTCTTCTTCAGTCTGAGCTTGATCTGTGGAAACAAGACGTACCTCTATCTCAGCGTCGCCTTCATTCAGATGCTCAAGGTAGGTATACTACTATATACTAAAATCGCAACAAGAGTATAATATGCTAACGTTAGTTGCTTATAGGCCACTACGCCCGTTGCCGTGTTGCTCGTTACGTGGGCCCTCAGAATCTCTCCACCTAACATGAAAGTGCTTATGAATGTATCTTTCATCGTCATTGGCGTTATCATTGCCTCCTTCGGCGAGATCCACTTCGTCATGGTCGGATTTATCTTCCAAATTGCTGGTATCGTCTTCGAAGCTACTCGTCTCGTCATGGTGCAGCAGCTCCTTAGCGCTGCTGAGTACAAGATGGATCCCTTGGTCTCGTTGTACTACTTTGCCCCGGTCTGTGCCGTCATGAACGGCGTGGTTGCATTGTTCATGGAGGTGCCGGATTTGACTATGGACCATATTTACAAGGTCGGGGTTATCACCCTCCTGGCCAACGGCATGGTTGCCTTCCTTCTCAACGTCTCCGTCGTTTTCCTGGTACGTATCTATATGCGCTAGGTTAATTTTGATCTTAGCGTAATGCTAACTTGACTTACAGATTGGCAAAACTTCTTCTCTTGTTTTGACCCTCTGCGGTGTCCTCAAGGATATTCTTCTCGTCACCATTTCTGCTTTGTGGTGGAAGACTCCCGTCACTCCTCTCCAGCTCTTTGGCTACACCATTGCCCTGGGTGGTCTAATCTACTACAAGCTCGGCGTCGAGAAGATGAAAGAGTACACCAACCAAGGTCTCCGCCAATGGGCAGAGTACTCCTCCACTCACCCGGCTAGAAGTCGCCTCATTCTCATTGGAATGGGCGTTCTCGTCCTCATCATCCTCATGTTCCAGTTCGGAGGCTCCGTTGACCCCAAAGTTGTCAAGGGAATGCTTCCAGGCAAAGTCTCCGGGCAGTAAAAAAGCCTTGTCTTCTCTCCGCGTTTTAGACCAAAAAAGTGGAAAAGGGATCGATGGATACGTTCACTCCCTTTGTTTCAAAATCCATTTACGAACTAATTTCACTGCATCACAGGACACCACTTGCTGTCTACTTTTCTTTTTCGCTGGTTTATTAATGGTACGATATGCACAAAAAGGACAGGAGAAAACCGAAGGCTTCTAGAAATTGAGAAGGGAAGATATGGGTTTTGTTGCATTCTTTCCACCCACCCCTTTTTACTTTCAAGCTCTTGCTTCATTCTTGCTTGTACAACTTTACAACAAATGCCTTGTAATCATGTCTCCTTTCACCCGGACAAGGCGACTGCTTTCACTACGCCCTTGCTTTTCTTCTTCTTTCTCACTTACTTCCCTTCACTGTTTCTACTCTTCTTATCCCATTCAAACACTAGACGTTGTTTCTTTCTGCCTTGCTTTTATATCCATCTCTTCTTTTCTCCCTTCTCGCCTCTTTGTACACAAGCAACAAACAATGCAAACAAGCTCCTTCCATCAGTCATCGGAAGAGAAAGTATTTCCGCATGACAAAAAGCTTACTAAGCGTCTAAACTTGCCCCAGATCGTCTTTGCTGACTAAGAAGATGATCCATCGCGCCTCTCCTTTAGGCCTAGCCACTCCCGGCTGCAACCTCTTGGCAACAAGAGTATGCACGTGTTATTGGCTGTGACTCCGTCCTTGGCACTGTATAAGCTCACGAGATTCGCCTCCCATTGGCTGGCCAAGAGAGCAGGGGGTGGTACCTGCCTCCTGCGGGTCTGATGCCGCGCATGGAAAGTACCACCGAGGTAGCTCTTTGCCATATCCGGGGTGGTCCTTGCAAGGCTTGTGCTGACTAAGCCCGGCCCTTCTTCTTCTTCGTTTCTTCCCAACTTTCAACTTCTTCTTCTTTTCTCTCTCCAACTACAACCTCAACCTCAACCTCAAGATACCAACAGCTACCTACCTGCACGCCTCCAACGCCTCAACGGCGGCTCACTTAACTAGTCTTCCCCCGTGGAATTCCCTTCCACGGCGTATCTCCTTCTATATCCCTTGCTCCTCTTAACGTCACTGCTCTCCTCAGCATCTTTCGTCCTCATACCTCGCCAGCCTCTTCTCTTCTCTACATTGGTTCTATCAATCCGGCGGATACCACAAAGGAAGAAAAAGACAAAACGAAATAACTTTCTCTTTTAATCTGACAGATTTACTTATCAGCATTGTCTAACAGCTTTCCCTTTCCGACATTTATTCTTTTTAACATTACGCTCCTCTTTTCTATTTAGATCAACCATGGGTCCATCTCTCTTCAACAACTACTTCAACGGACCAACCGTCGCCTTGCCTCCTCCATCTCAACTTCACCAGACCAATCAGCTTGCGCCTACCGACTCGATGAACCATTCGTTTGCCCATTCCGGCGGTTCCCGCTTTCCCCATCATGCTTCTGCTCATGCAGACGGTATTCAGTCTGGGCCACCCAAGTCTTTCATAGGCCGTCAGACGCCTTTGAATGCTACTCAGTGTACTGCTGCACCGTCACGCAAACGATCGAGAGACGAATTCAACCTAAGCAATAATGACAACCACAATAACTTTGCTGTTCAAAAGGCACTCACTCCACCAACCGTACCAGAAGAGGAGCCAATCTACGGCGAAGGAATGGTCCTCATCAACCCAAAAACTGGACTAGCCATCTCAGCCTCCAGCCAGACAGGGACCTGGTATGAAGAGAAAGCAGAGGAGAAAGCAGTTAGCAACCAGATCTCCGTTCCTATCACCGCAGACGTCAACCATGACCATATCAACCCTCTGCCCAGCCGGAAGACACAACGGCTCGACGCTACCGCTTCTGCTTACGACGACATAACCGCCTTGTCAATCGCCAACAAACTCCAATCGAACACGGATGACGTTTGCGGATCCGGATCTTCTCCCAAGGGGCCCGAAATGCCACATGTTGATGATGCTACTCGACTACTAGGTATCAGCTGGCAACGCATGGCTAACGATGACAAAGATATGGTTGCTGCCATTCGTGGTTGGGAGAAATACATTAACAACCACTTCTCCACTCACCTACACGATGCCCAAATTATGCTTAAGCATCGCGGCCTGAATGTCTACCTTGTCTCAGCACTTCCAAAAGGCCAGCATCAGAACGAAAATGCCGCCCGGCGACACTTCTACCTTTTCGACGATAACCTTACTGAAGGCCAGCTGGTCGGCAGGGACTGGCAATCTTCAATTCGTAACCTCCAGTCTTCACCAATTGCCTTCGAAGCTGGCTCAGCAGTATTAAAGGCAGCTGAAAAGACGCCTGAACGGCAAGTGGAAGACAAGGGAATCCCGATTGCTACCGGTGGCATGAACGGATGTATGATGGGAACGACGGGAACCTCAACCGGAACGGACATCCAGATGGAAATCGATTAGACGCCTACAACCACAACGCTACAGA